GTCCATTTCCATCTGGAGAAATCCACAGGGGAACTGAGCTCTTTGGCGCTAGAGGTAGTAAGGAGTCTGAATTTGTACTCAAGCATGAGGCAGGTCATATAGTATACCTGTTTGTGTCTTTGTTTGTTGTTCATGCTGGGCAAAACATTTATGTCTCAATCTAGGTGCCCAGCCCTTTTGCTTTGGTATGTTTCTGAGACAGACTCTCACTAATTTTTTTTTGAACTGATGATCACTCTGGCTTTATTTCCTGAGCACCTGAGATTTACATAATTCTGTTAAAATAAAAAATACAATGACATATTGAAAACCCATTCTTATTTAAAACACTAGATATAATATATCATTTATTCAGTATTAGCAGTGGATCAATTGAAAATTCAAGACTTCTTGCAAAGTTTTGCTCACTTTTTGGTCACAGTTCTGAATTTCTTTCAAGATTAATCTGAAGGCCAAGTAGCACATTGTTTATTATGGGTATTCTTCCCTTTCAATCCTCTGTTGAAAAGTCTGTGTTTAGCTTCAAAGATTCATGGATTTAAAAAAAATTAGTCATAATTCTAGATGTGACCTATGAACCTAGAGATGTATTTTCTCAGAGGAAACATTTTCCCTCAAATACAACATTTGTGCCACAGACCTAGCCACTTTCTACCTGAAAAAGTGATTCTTTGCTTTGGTCCCTATAGCAGGTGGATGTCAGGCAATCCCCGAGTTCTGTAGTGTGCCTCTCTCCAGAACTCTTGTGTTTTGCTAACACGCTAGCCCCTCATCTGTGAAGCTGAGATAAGAAGAATGAAAGACTTCTTTGTCTTCTATAATTCCAGTAAGCAGTAACTTGCTCTTTCATTTTTCTGGTTCTGTGAGTTCTGGAGAACAAGGAATGCCATATCCCCACTGCAGGGCTCCTTGTACCAGAAGAGACCATGTCTCTAACACTGGTGTCATAGGTGCAGTGCAGGAGTACATCCTCTTTCCCCTGAACCCACACTGCTAGTTGCATCTGAGCTACCTTCTGGATAAACTGGATCATGATGGACAAGATAGAATCAGAAAGTGTAAGGGAGCATGTCACCAGTAGCTCACTCCTGTAATCCTAGTCACTCAAGAGGCTGAGATCTGAGGATTGTGCTTCTAAACCAGCCCAGGCAGATAAATCCATGAGAACTTAAATAAGCTAGAACTAGAGGTGTGGCTCAAGTGATAGTGTGCCAGCCTTGGGAAAAATAGCCAAGGGAGAGAGTAAGGCTCTGAGTTAAAGCCCAGTAGCCCGTGCATGCACGTGTACACGCACACACACACACACACAAACAAATACCACACACACACACATACACATACTCATCAATGAATAGAAAAGCAAAGGAAAGGGAAAACAGAAAAGAGAAAAGAAAATTTAGTGTTAAGTGGTGTAGATCAAAGAAACCCCACTTTTACCTCCTGTTGCCCCCTTTCCCAGGTCCCCATAAGATATTCCTATTCCGAGTGCTCAGGTCACACAGGATACGCATTTGCAATGGCCCACCCCTACCAGCCACATTGAAACCATGGAGCGTCTGGAGACCTGCATGTGTGTTCTTCCTTTGATGTGAAATGTATGCTACCTCTACTTCTGAGCTCTGAGCTCTGAGGGGCCCTCCCAGGGTGAAGGAGTTTGTGAGTTGTGTGTTGCTGCTGCAGGAGAATGTGAAACATAGAATAACTGGTGTACGACTTGTATATCATGTCTAACCTTTCTGTGCTGGCTGAGACTTTCACCCAATCCTACTTTTTAGAATTTTTTTCATTATCTTTAAATAGTTGTACTAATTCAACCTGCCAGTTTATGGATATAATGCATCTTGATCAATGCCACCCTTCCATAATGCCGCCCATCTCTTCCAACTCTACCCATCCCTCAAGTTACATAGTTCCGTTTTCACATATGAGCATTATGTCAACATTTGCCTACCTTTCTTCCACCATTGTCTGCTCCACCTTCCTTTGACATCATCCCCTCACTTTGGACAACACAAGGTCTAGCTTTCTCATGTTCATTTTAATACATACTAACTTAATTGTTTGAAGGGAATATCATTGCAATCTTTCCTTGCATACACCACTTTAGTTATTTATGTGTATATACATATGGCCCTGTATATGTTTAAGTATATATTATTAATTTAAATATTAATTTTACATGTGAGATGAAACAAGAATCTTTTGTTTCTGTGAACCTGAGTTATTTCACTTAACGTATTTTTTCCAGGTTTATCCATTCTCATGCAAATGATGTAAGCATTAACACACTCAATCTTGTAACCATTAATCTAAGGTGAAAATAATCTAAAGCATATCAAAAGGAAATTAATTTGATATCATAATCTCAGTCCTTACATCTGTGATATGACTGGAAGGGGGTAATAGTAACAATACCTGTTGGTATTTGTTACTAAGGACCAACCTAAGATACAATAAATGGATGTTCTAACACCTATACTGCTTCTTAAAGTAGAAATCAATCACTTTATCAACACAGGACAGAGTTGGATTTCAGCCTACCTATGGACACAATAATATTCCTCATTTCTATTTTTAAACTTTACTTAAATATAGACCTTGGAGTAGACTTTGCTTACGTCAGTGGTATTTTACTCTACAAAGTCACTACTATGCAACAAAGTGAAAATTTTGTTCCATTTTTTTATTCAATGCTATTGTTTGAAAATTCCCAATAAGTAGACAGTCTCAACTAGAATAGATAATGCAAATTTTGATCAATAAAATCAGCCTGGTAAATGTTATAAAAATCTATTGATGAAAATTTAAGCTAGAGCTGGGGCAACTAAAATTATACAGAACATAATTCAAACTGAATGTATAAAATAGTATCAACCAGTTGCCATGATTTTGTAGAACAAAGAAGAGTGTTTGAATATATGCTGTGTATTAGAATTCAATAGTCACAAACAGAAATACACAAAACATTTGTTTTTTTAAAAATACTTTAAAAATTGGGATCGTTGAGAATATAAGATAATTATACTTTCTGTTTTTCTTTGATGGAACTCTGCCTAATTTATTATGTTCTCAATTTAGAAATAAAAACCAAAGACATGTCAAAATGTGAGGCAAAAGGAGAACTCTCTCTGTATCAGATTCTTTTCTACCAAATCCCTGACAGTTACAGACAAACATAATTCAGCTAAGGGTCCTGAGATCTGAAGAGTGTCATTGATTATCAGAGCTTAGTGCAATCACACATATGGTTAGAGAGAGATTGACAAGAAAAGAAGAGATTCCAGTGCAACCAAGGAGGCAGAGTCAGGAATGATGGAGTCACAGGCTGAGAAATGGTAGCAACCATCAAATTCTGTTCTGCTGCCAGATGCAGTCTGATGACATCTTGATTCAGACCCAGGAACACAAATTTCAACCTCACACTTTCAGAACTGTGGGGGGAAATACATGTTGTTATTCTTATATATTCCTATCCTTTTAAGCTATCAAATTTGTTACAAAAGTAAAATGAGGAAACATACCACTATGGCCAGATCTAACGCTTAAATGTGTATGGATCTGAGATGCAGACTCTGTATTCTGGGTATTGACTTTGCCTGAATACTCTGGGTACATAATTATGGTTTGTTTTCTTATATTTGATCCATTGTCATCTTAATAAGATACATCAAGTAAGCCAAATGAATACCACATCATTTCTCTTTTATAACCAAGAAATAAAGCAATAAAGTATAAGCCCCTGTTGTCTCCCCACCCTATACTGATTTCTAGGGAGAATTAGACGAACCAAGAGCCGACTTGCTTCTGTGGACCAGGAGCTAATTGTGTAGTGAGGGAAAATGAGAAAAGCCAGATGATGGCTGGGCTACAATATAGAACTTTGTTGTGGAAAACTAATATATTTGATTAACATTGCCTATTAGAGCAAATCAATTGGCTGATAAGTAGCATCCACAACTCAGCTACAAGAGATCATTCTCACCTACCTAGTCTCCAATTACTTTCATCCTTACATAAATATGGGAGCTCTTGATCTTTTGCTACCCTTGTCTAGAGTTTGGATAATTAGAGAATCAAACATTTACATAGTGTATTTATTTCTGCTGATTTGCTGACAAAAGTATAAATATGTTTTTTAAAGACATTTAAGATAAAATATGTAATTCAGTCAAAAGTTAAGATTAAGCAAAAATTAGTGGTGAACTGTTAACTATTAGTCCACCTTCCTTTTGTAACCCACTACTATGAGATGATTAATGTAGATGATAAATGCTCACATAAAACTCTTCAAATACTAGAGAAATTTAAGGTGGCAATAAAAATTGTATCCAAGGAGTAAATTTAATTTTCTTGAAACAATGGACCTTTATTGAGAAATACGAATGAAAGATGAATTTAACTAAATTTTATTGTGAATTATTTGCTGTCTACAACATGACATTATTAGGTGAACATAAGTTGCATACTACAAATGTCTATCATTTTACTTAGTTACATTTTTGAGCACTTGAGAAGGTTAAATGCAAGAAAATACTAATTTGAGAAAAATGTAATAGTGTATAATTTTATTAACTACAGTACTTATATTGTACATTAGACTTGTACACTTATTAATCATCATATCAGTTTCTTTGTATCCTTTGACTAAGTGTTCCCAACAAATAGTCTGAGTAAAGAATTACCAATTTTATCTTTTGATATTTTATTTAGTTAACAGTATATAATAGTTAATCATGAAACTTTCAAAAGACTTAAACACCATGCACAATAGAGAGGCAATATTTATATTGAAGTCATTCATATGGAGAAATTTGATATCATAAATTCATAAAGCACTGAGTTAAGAAACCATCATGCTGAATGCCATTGGCTCATGCCTGCAATCCTAACTACTCAAAGGTTACAATCTGAGGACTATGGTTGGAAGCCAGCCCAGGCAGGAGAGTCTATAAGACTCTTATTTCCAATTGCCCACAAGAGCCCATGAGATTCTTTTCAGTTACTCATCAAAAGCTGGAATTGAGCTTTGGCTTAAGTGCTAGAGCACTAGCTTTGAACACAAAAGCTCAAGGGCAGGGTCCAAGCCCTGAGTTCAAGTCTACATACTGGCACAAGACAAAAAGAAAAGAACCCACCATTAGTTGCTTCTAACAAGTTGTTAAGTGCAGCTTAACAAATGCTGAATCTGAGGATGAGCCTGGATTTGGCATGCCCAGAGAGGTTGGGAAATGAGACCTTGTGTTCCATCCCTAAACCTAGCTCTACCGATTTTTCTTTCACCTCAAAGCATGTATCCTTCCTATAAATAATACTAAATAAACTAGAAAAAATTGTCTCTTACAAATAATCCACCTATAAGAGGTTCTCAACAGCCATGTCCCCTAAACATAATATTTATTCTTAATATTTATTCTTAGTATCTCTGTGTTAGCTGCCACTTGCAAACAATAGGCAAATGCTGGGCTGGAAGGGCTATGGCAAGGAAAGATGTGGGCTGCAATCCTAGAGGCAGGTTTGAGGACGGGCTGCAGGTGCCTGGGGAGCAATGTGTACTTGCTGCACAGTAGTAGACAGCTGAGTCCCCAGGCTGAGTGTCTTTGATGAGCAGGGAAAGGTGTTTGTCATTCTTCTTCAATAAGACCAGGAGTTTTCCATTTTCATTTCTGTCCCGATTTGAACGGATGTCTATAATAAGCTGGGGACCCTGTCCTGGTTCTTTCTTGTACCAAGGGAAGTATGAGAAGGCACTGTCTGTGTAAGTACAGTTGATGACACATCCATCTCCCTCCTGCACACTCAGGACAGAAGGACTCTGCTCCACCTTCTCTCCTTGGCTCAGCACTATATAGAGAGAAAGACAGAAAGGAGACAGTTAGGTCAGTACTCTTCAGAATGGTCTTTTCCTACAGTAACTATAGACAGTTTGGATAAACTGATCTTCTCCTGGATATCTAAAGAAATCCACTAATATATGGTTTCCCTTAATCCTCAACTCACAGTGCAGCTGCAGCCACAGGAGCAGGAATAAATCATTAATCAATCTCTTCATTTTTCTTCCCAAGTAGGATCAGTTGAAGACTTAAGATCTCCTATCTGGATGTCACTTCTGTCCCTTTCTCTCTTTCAGTTGTAGTATTTCCTGAGATGTCTACATAGCCAATAAGAAAAAGATTTGCTTTTGCCTTTGGCCTATTCATTTAGAATCCACTAAAATGAACATATTGGATATCTGCTGAGTTTCACTGCCACCTTGTGGTCACACCCCTAACTACTGAACTCTGGTTAAAAGTTCACTTAACTGTGTGAACTACAAAGCACAAAACCGCAATAAGTTAAATAAAATGTGTCTTGATTAAACAGTAAATATACAGTAAGTATGTAGAGATCAAGGTTGACATTTTGTCACAATTAAGTCACTTTTTGGTAATATAAAGTTTGAACTCAAGGCCTCACACTTCCTCCACTGTAATGTGTGTGTGTGTGTGTGTGTGTGTGTGTGTGTGTGTGTGTGTGTGTGTGTGTGTGTTTAACACCAAACTTTGAAAAATTCCTTTACTCTTTTTTCTTGAAATTTTATTGTAAATGTATTTTACCTAGAGGTTATAGTTACGTAAGTCAGGTAATGATACATTTCCTTTTGAACAGTATTACCTCATCCTTCATTCTTTTCCAGTTTTTCCCCTCCTAAATTCTTTCCCCACAAAGCTGTATTGTTCATTTCCAACATAAAAAGTCCTTTAATCTTCCAAATTTCTAGGATTTCTTTTTTTGTCAAAAAGCCTTTCCCAAAGGCATTTGCTGTTGGTTCATGCCTTTAATCCTAGCTACTCAAGAAGCTGAGATCTGAGGATTGAGGTTCAAAGCTAGCCTAGGCAGGAAAGACAGAGACTCTTATCTCCAATCATCAGAAAACCAGAAGTTGTGGAGTGGCTAAAAGTGGTAAAGTACTAGCTTTGCACAAAAGAGTTCAGGGATGGCACCCAGGCCCTGAGTTCAAGCCTCACAACTGACAAGAAAAAAGAGGCTTTTCCATCTACTTTAATGTCTTGATATTTTCTGCCTACTTTTGCAAGAATATTTCAAGTGAAACCTTAATACTGTGTATGTCTGCAAAAAGAAATTGATCTTAGAGAACTGACCACAATCAATAATTTCAGAAAAACCAAGATGATCTTATTTCAGGAAGTGATTTTATGCTTAGAGTTCCAGGAGTTGTGGGGAATTAATCTAATTCCTTATTCATGATTCACAGACTTAAAGATTTTAGAAAGTTGTGATAATGACCCTCAAGCCCAACTCAATTTAGAATTCATGTATACACACATACATACATGAAATATATTGAAAAGTACATGCATGAGATGTATATTGTGAGTGTATAACATTTCCCTTTCAAAGGCTTTTGTTCTCCTTCTCATGTCCTATAATGGAATTCTCAAATCAATCACTGGGCAATGTTTTCTCTGCTTTGAAACAGATACTTTAGGACAGTGCCATCCTGTTGAGTCATGGCATCCAGGTAAGGATGTTTTTAACACTTTGATGGACTGTGAGTTTCAGGAAGCCAAAACATACTTTCATCTCAGTTTCATTCACCATTTGACTGACAATGTTTGATTGAGGTTTATTATGCTGCTTTCCTGCCTTTAAAGTACATTCGTTGGAATTGGGTGCTGAGGACTCATGCCTGTAATTCTAGCTACTCTGAGATCTGAGGGACATGTTTCAAAGCCAGCCCAGGCAGGAAAGTCTATGAGACTCTCATTTCCAATTAACTACCACAAAACCGAAAGTGGTGCTGTGGCTCAAGTGGTAGAGCACTCACCTTGAACTGAAGAGCTGAGGGACAGTGCCCAGGCTGTTCAAACCTCAGTATCAACAAAAACAACAACAATAGATATCTATTTGGGATAATGAATATGCATTGTTACTTTAGAAAAGACTTTAGAAATCATGGGGTGGAGAGGACAGCACTGTCCCTTTGGCTCACTCTCCAGCAGCCAGTAGAACATCCTCAGCTCATCCAAGTTTCTTTTCTTTTTTTTTTTTTTAATTTTATTTTATTTTGTGAACATTCTGTACAGAGGGGTTACAATTACATGGGCAGGATAATGCGTACATTTCTTACCAAGCATTGCAGCCTCCTCCTTTGTTTACCCTTCACATCCCTTCCCAGACTCCCCCCTACCCGCCATCCCAATACTTCTCCTTCCCCCCCACCTCCCCCGCACCAATGTTGTAAGGCTCGTTTTGGACATGACAACTTGTACTTCTCACTGTTGCAACAGGTCCACCTGTATCCTTAAACGACTTGTTTTTCCCCATCTCCTCCACAAGTTATACTGACATCAAATATAGTGAAAGCAGGGCTTATACTGTGGGGGAGGGACATACAAAGCAACAAAGAAATAATCTTATACATGCGTTAGAAACACATGCATGAAAGAAAAAAACATTAAAATACATATCTAAGGGTTCATTTTCCTGACATCACATTATCTGACCTTTTCCGCTTGACTCATACATATACTAGATATTGCAAATAAGGGAAACCATGGGACCTATGTTTCTTTGGGCCTGGCTTACTTCACTTAATATAATTTTTTCCAAGTTTTTCCATTTCCTAACAAATGGGGCAATGTCATTCTTTCTGATGGAGGCATAGAATTCCATTGTGTATATATACCACATTTTCTTGATCCATTCATCTACTGAGGGGCATCTGGGTTGGTTCCATATCTTAGCTGTGGTAAATAATGCTGCAATAAACATTGTTGTGCTGGTAGCCTTAGTGTGGTCTTGTTTGTAAACATTTGGGTAAATGCCCAAAAGTGGGATTGCTGGGTCATAGGGGAGCTCTATGTGAAGTCTTTTGAGGAACCTCCATACTGCTTTCCAAAGTGGTTGAACAAGTTTACATTCCCACCAACAATGAAGTAAGGTTCCTTTCTGTCCACATCCCCTCCATCATCTGTTGTTGTTAGAGTTATTGATTTTTGCCGTTCTAACTGGGGTGAAGTGATATCTCAATGTTGTTTTGATTTGCATTTCTTTTATGGCTAGGGATGTTGAACATTTCTTCATGTGTCTATTGGCCATCCTTCTTTCTTCTTCAGAGAAGTTTCTCTTTAAGTCTTTCGCCCACTTATTTATTGGGCAGTTGTTTCTTTGAGGATTTGTTGTTGGGGCGTTTAATTTTTTGAGTTCCAAGTATATTTTAGATATGAGACCCTTGTCCGTTGTATGGCTAGTAAAGATCTTCTCCCAATCCGTGGGCTTTCTATTGATCTTGCTAGCTATGTCATTTGCCCTGCAGAAGCTCTGCAACTTTATGCAATCCCATTTGTCCAACCTTTCTTTGATTTGTTGTGTTTCTGGGTCTCTATTCAGAAAATTTCGGCCTGAGCCAAGGAGACCTAGGGTTTCTCCTATTCCATCCTGTAATGTTTTCAGAGTGTCTGCTTTGACTTCAAGGTCTTTGATCCATTTGAAGTTGATACTGTTGCAGGGTGATATATAAGGATCTAGCTTTAGTTTTCTACATGTAGTTAACCAATTTTGTCAGCACCATTTACTGAAGAGGCTGTCTTTCTGCCATTCTATTGTTTTAGCTCCCTTATCAAAGATTAGATGGCTGTAGGTCTGTACATTCATTTCTGGGTTTTCAATTCTATTCCATTGGTCCTGAGGTCTGTTCTTATGCCAAGACCAAGCTGTTTTGATTACTATGGCTTTATAGTAGAGTTTGAAATTTGGTATTGATATTCCTCCAGCAGTGTTCTTTCCGTTGAGGAGCATTTTTGCTATTCGGGGTCTTTTATTGTTCCATATGAATTTTTGGATTGCCTCTTCTACTTTCTTGAAGAATGAGCTTGGAATTTTGATAGGTATTGCGTTGAATTTGTAGATAGCCTTGGGAAGTATTGCCATTTTCACGATGTTAATCTTTCCAATCCAGGAGCATGGGAGGTTTTGCCATTTTTTAAGTTCTGTGTTGATTTCCTTTTTCAAGATTTTAAAGTTTTCATCATAGAGGTCCTTCACTTCTTTGGTTAAGTTAATTCCTAGGTATTGTATTTTTTGTTGGGCTATTACAAATGGAGTTGGTTTCCTAATTTCAGCCACACTTTTCTCATTGTTGGCAAACAGAAAAGCCATTGATTTTAGGGGGTTAATTTTATACCCTGCTACTTTGCCAAAGTTTTGTATCAGCTTGAGTAATTTGGGAATGGAGTCCATGGGATTCTTTAAGTACAAGATCATGTCATCTGCAAAGAGGGAGAGTTTTATTTCTTCTTTCCCTATTTGGATCCCCTTTATGTCTGCATCTTGTCTTATTGCTGTAGCTAGGCATTCTAATACTAGATTGATGAGAAGTGGAGAGAGTGGACATTCTTGTCTTGTTCCTGAGTTAAGAGGAAATGGCTTTAGTTTTTCACCATTAAGTATAATGTTGGCTGTAGGTTTGTCATATACAGCCTTTATTGTATTGAGGAATGTTCCATGGATTCCTAATTTTTCCAAAACCTTCATCATAAAGGGGTGTTGGATCTTGTCGAATGCTTTTTCTGCATCTATTGAGATAACTATGTGGTTCTTATTCTTGCTCCTGTTGATGTGATGAATAATATTAATTGACTTGCATATATTGAACCATGTTGTGTGATTTTTTGGATAAATTGTTGAAGTCTGTTGACCAAAATTTTGTTGAGAAGTTTTGCATCAATGTTCATCAAAGAAATGGGTCTATAGTTCTCTTTCTTTGATGAGTCCCTGCCTGGTTTTGGGATGAGGGTTATGATGGCTTCATAGAATGTGTTCGGTAGTGAACTTTCTCTTTCAATTTCATTGAAGAGTTGGAGGAGTATTGGTGTGAGCTCTGCTTTGAAGGCCTTGTAGAATTCTGCTGTAAAACCATCTGGTCCTGGACTTTTCTTAGCTGGAAGGTCTCTTATTGCTGTTTCTATTTCAATGCTTGATATGGGCCTGTTAAGCTGGTTTAACTTATCTTGGTTTAGTTTTGGCATGTCAATATTTGCTAGGAAAAGGTCCATTTCTGTCAAGTTCTCAAACTTATTAGCATAAAGTTTTGAGAAGTATTCCCTTATAATGTTTTG